ACAGGTTCATCTTTATCGCATGAGGTAAAGTGATACGAGCATAATGCAATCATTTCTACTAGAGAGAGTCTGTTAACTTAGAGTTTTCGAACAGTTAGAGTATGGTTAGGGTGCTCTCCACTCACAGTAGACGGAAATATGTGCTCACTTGTCCAAGGCACTTGTTTATTTAGTTTGTTTTTTTTTTTTTTTTTTTTTACTTATATAACTTTATTAGCCAATGGTGTAAGTTAAGTGCCTGGAGTCAAATCGATTCTTTAATAAAGTCATATATACACATATTATAGTCAGGCGTCTTATTTAGACCACGCGCACGGATCAGCTTACCGTATAGTCGAAAGGCTCTGCGCGCAAGAACGCCTTGGTCCATTTGTGTATCAAGAAAGTACTATTCAGCTTCGTTTCCTTTATCTGATATAATTATAGTTTTCTGGGAACAAAAAAAAAACAGTCAGTTGGGCGCCTACTCGAATTTCGCAAAGCACGCTTAGACTGGTAGGTTTGTATTGATTTAAGTAACTGGTGGCTCGGAAAAGCCAACTCTGGCGAACAGACCCGCTTGAAAACCACGTTACGCATAGATCTGGAAATGTTACGCATGTCTATCAAGCAAACCGTACCTTAAAAGAACGCTGAACATGCCCATGTATTTATTAATCAGACTAATTAATGAACAAATGTAATGCAAATATACAAACAATAATTTAGAGATAAATTCAATCTTAGAAAATTTAGAGATAAATCTCATTTACCCGGTTTTAGCTTGATGGCAAACGATGACCAAAGAAAGTCTATCGTATTTCCGAAGCGTGTATGTGATATGAAATTGAAACTATTGTCACTAAGATTATGATCGGATGCTCCGATCATAATCTTTCAACTCTGAAGGTTTTCAGCGAATTTTAACAGCCATGACGCTCTAATCTGAAATCGTGAGTTTCGCGGGCGCTAGGGTCGATTTTCGGTTACCTCCTATGAGGTGTGGAAGCATACAGAGAATCGGTAAACTTGTTTCACTACTCAAAATGATAACGCTGCTTCAACTACTTCAAACATTATATATGTAACTAATGAATAAATCTAGAAGGTTAATGTTTTTAGGCACATTTAAAGTGTGTTCTTTCTACATTCTATGTAATAGCTTTTTCCATGTTGTGGCTAATATTTACCATATATTCGCTAACTACGTTTCACAAACACAGGACCTATTCAAGTTAATTAAATACTTTTCGTAGAAATTTAGCAGTTATGTCCGCTGGAGAACAAGACGTCGGACCCGTCACAGTTCTACGAAGGATGATGCTTGGTGCAGATGCCCTATGTGACTGTTTTATACAGATGAATTTTGATGCGCGTAAAAATAACGATTCGTGTACGCCAACGAAAAAGAAAATTATTAAAAATTACAGTGCACTTATGCAAATGTCTGAACCATTATTCTATTCGATACGTACTCAAAATTTGAAGTGCTTCTAAAAACATATTCTAATGTCGCTGTTTGGGACCATACTTTTAAATAACTTGCCGCATGGACGCCACTGACGTATCGTTAGAAAGTTGAATTCAGTTTGGTCCAACGGTTATGTACATTCGTTGAAATCTTCAAGGCCGATGTAATCAGGCAGGTCTGATCCTTTATCCATTCATTCACTGAAAATGGATAATTAAATGTTTCGTTCGTCCATGGTCGCCCCTGAACGCTCTATACGTATTAATCTTCAGCGACACCAGTTAAAGTCGAAAACTTCTTTTTGCATAGAGTCATATCTCAGCCGAACTGCCGCTCACAGCTTTTATCTGATTGTTGCTTACGAAAATCCTACTAGGGACATAAGAGACTGGACGACGGTTTTTGAAAGATAGCGAAATGAAGAATATAGGCTACAACTCTACCTAAATTGAGTCGTAAAAATAATACGTCTTTTTATTCTCACAGGTTGTCTCGTTGGCGAAACTTCAAGCAGCAACTCCTTGTTGCCTTCAACCAGAGGCTTGGCCGTCCAGTCATAAAGTTGACGGTATTAAAGCCCTTGGAGAAGCACAGGACCGCACAGAGGGGTCCTGGCTATAGCAACATTTAACTCGATGTCGCTTTAGCAAAACGGAAAACTCTGACAGACTTCAAACGCAGCTTCTTAAACGCTTGAAAAATCAATTTTATGAATGGATCGCTTCTAAGAATACTCTTTTTCATTTACCGAGAAACCTGTATGCTATCTGAAAGGCAGTAGAAAACTATGGAAGTCCAAAGAAATAATTTTAGCAGAGGAGGCCGGTTTGTTTTGTCCGAGAGGTAGCAGCTAAAAAGTGAGCTGAATAAAGAGATTTATTTTCTGACCGGCTTCAACAATATAGACTTATCTGCTGTTACACCTGATAGCCGCCTTCCATCGAACTAATCTGCTGGCATTCATTTGCTACTACGTTTAAAGACGCTCAACTATCGTTTCGGTACTCAGATCATATGAGGTTAAGAAGATTTGTATCTCTCTCTCTCTCTCTCTCTCGTTTACAATGCGTCTAGAATGATGTGTCGGTACCACCTCTTTAGGTTCTAAAAACAAAAACACAAAGCCTCTTCCCGTAGGCCGTATTGGGAAGTTTGCTTCCGGCAATGTACTGTGTGATGAACTTACGGTAAATGAGTTTCGATCATTTACAAATGTGACGTCTTGTGCTTGACAAACGAGTATACGAAGATCTAAGCAATGGAAAGCCATTTTTTTTTACAAACAACAATCGAGTGTTACTACTTGTGTAATCATGTTCATGATCTGCCTTTGCTTGTCGCTAACATTAAGCCAACAATATTTATAGGCATGACACTTGCAAATCTATCAAGATTACGAACACGATTTTCAAAAGTTTGGCCTATCAGGCACGTGCCTCGACATTCTGTAAAGCACAAACAGAGTGTAGAAAAAGAATGTTCCCCAAAAAAACAAACAGGCGATGATATATTGGAAGCTTTCAGAATAGTTCGAACATACGCTAGTCCGTGTGCTACAACTAAATTGGGTGGACAGGTCATTAGGATCTCGTATGACGTAGCGTAATCCGTTTTCGTTTAAAATATATGGTATTAACATGTGCAAGTCTTAATCAAAATTAATTATCGCAGCAAAATGAATATTTATCTAGGTTTGGCCATTTTTCGGCCACGGCACTTTTTAGCCACGGCCAAGAATTCCAATTTCGAGGATCGTCCAATAGCCAGGTAACAACCGGCTCCAGTATGAAGCTTAAGCAGTTTGCAAGTCAGCTGGTATACCTCAACTCTGCTATTATAACTTTTAAGTTTATGCTCATAAAGTTTTTAATACCACAGCGATGTTAGTACATATCCTAAATTTATTGAAAAAGCCAAAAAGAGAACCTTCTTTAGAAAACAAATTGTAACATTTGTATAAAAAATCTGGAAATAGTTTTTTTTAATCAATTTTTCGTCTCTTCTACTATTGCCCTTTTATATTGACCTTTACCGATTATTCAGGACATATACAATCACCAGGAGTCGCACAGGCCGAATCTATAATAATCTTGGTATCGGTTCGTTTCGTGCGACGTTGTTGAACGATAGCTGATCTTTGTTCATGTTGCGAGAACGTATTTCCTGTTTCCTCTATGATGAAGTCGTGGTTTTCTTCCAGAATGCTTTCCTCCAATACCGCAAACGGGAGCAGGTTATGTCAAAAGAGAAAAATCTCGCTTATTTACGGTAGCCTATAAAATGTCATTGCTTTTATATTACCACAACACTAACTGGTATATATTTGAGATGGTTGAAAAAGCATTGGACTTTTTGTATTTTATAACAATATTGGTAAATTGAATGTATACCGTTTTTTTTTTTGATAACATCATAATTTTATCACTATACAACTTCTGCGGTCGAATCGGTCTTTGCATCCTTCTATTTAAACTAAATTGACTCTTATGGAGACCGAAACAGATGATCAATAGTCAGATAGTGCAAGATGCAGGCAATATGATGGATCCATGAAAAATGGCATTCGAAGTTCTTTCTGTAGAGTCTTTGTTGACAAGTTAACAATGTGTGTGTGATCTGGCATTGTCATGGTGCTAGGCGAGGCCTCTTCTGCTCACTCGTACCGGTCGATTTTTTTCAATGGCCTGTTGTAGCCCTACTTGGTTGCCGGTAGAGTTCCAAATGAGTCGTTCTGAGCAAGCAGCAGCAGCAACTAATAATGTATGATTCTTTTCCAATCCCGTTAAATACGTAACGTCGCAGCCACTGGCGTCAGTCTGTATTTTGTCACAGAGTGCAGAGCTGTGCCTTGCTTTGGCGACAATCTAATTGGCACATTATTGCCGTATGTGACCCACCTTCGACCGTTTCAGTGGTAGCTCAGTTGGTTCGTATCTCTCTAGAGTTCCGAGGACGGAAATACGATTGAGTAAATCATTTTGCGTCAATTCGTGTGGTACCCGTACGTCAAGCTTCTTATTGCGGTCGATTTTCTTTGAATGCTTTAAGGCTGTTTCGATTTTTTGGCGACGCCATGTGTTTACTCATGTGTTGAGTCTTTGCAATATTTTCATTAATTTTTCGTATAACGAGTCGGCCACTGCTTCTCTTAGATAAAGATTTTTAGGCGCTATATTAGGGACTATTTTGGACTGCGTCTTTCGCCTGAGACTCTGTGTGCCTTTATCGTAATAAAATTGTAAAATATAGCATTTTCATACAAAAATTTATTCTTAACCTAACTGCTAGCAGTAAATATTAGGAGCGCCCTCTTTTTGCATGACCTCAATGCGCAATCTTTGCCCCCGTTTTACTATGACATTATTAAAACAGCTTTAGTCACATTAGTTTCGAATAATTTGATCATTCAGTATAGCTTTTATTAACAAATAGCAAAAATTAAGCAAAAAAAAAATTAAGTTCATTAACAAAGAAATAAAATTCAAATTAACGAAAAGTAAAAGTTGCTTTTTTATATTTGTTTGGGTGGCGTCTGCTGTGTGCCTTACAGAACAGAGCGGATGCGTGTTGTGTACAGGCTCAATACGTGAAAGACAGACGGGAAGTGGCGGTGGTGAGCTGATAAGGCCGTCCGCACAGCGAGCATTGACAACATACAGTCAGCAATCGGCCGCCGATCGACGGTACGTAGAAAACGTGCTTAATTTACATATCCATAGGCTGTTGATAAAGCGTTAAGGTTGAGCTTATTAAACTGGCTCGACCGGCTGCTTTCGCTCACCCCGCCACCCCCTACGATCGCCTCATAATGGATGTCCTCGAGGAGATGAATCTAACCTTTTTTAATATATCGGAGGTGTTCAAAATATATAGATCTAACTTCTCCTTCGAGGATACCGACTATGCGCTCTTCATGCCCATCTATATGGAGGTAAGTTGATTTTAAGCAAGCATGTTGAAACCAAGTTCTTAAAATAGCTAACGCATTTCTGTCGGTTCGCATACACGAACGCAGCAATCGTATCCGCATGTACCAAAATTCATAACTACGGGCTAAGCAAAAACATTTTGTAGTGGAAATTGAGAGTTGCAGTTTTCTTCTTTAATTTTTTTTATTGAACTTGTTCAGTAGAGAGGTTAGCCTTTATTTTTCTTTTAAACGGAGCTGGTCTTGCTTCTACTCGTAATTGCTTTTGCTCGATGTCAGCTAACTAATAACTATAAGATCCGGGATGCCGAAAAAACAGCAGGTAAATTTTGACGTTACCCATTGTAACCGGTAATCAATTCACATTTAGAAAAAAAGCTCTCACTGTTTTTGAAGTGCATATTGGTCCTTCAGTTCCTTCGCTTAAGGTATATCGAAACTGTTGGGTTTAAACTCTCGTTGAACGGATATTGTGACACTCCGTTTACCGTGTCCGGTATTGCTTTGCTCACAATATTATAGCTTAAGATTTATGGCTTCACTTGCGCAACATAATTGTTTTGCTTAGCATTACCATACAACATTTCAGAACGTAAATACCGTTGCTTTTACCGTTTCGTTCTCGGTGCAACTTTTGACGTCAATCGTTTTGCGTATTATGATTCGTGAATGGCATCGTAACATAGATTTCTGTAAAAGCGTTCATCATTATGCTTTATGACACACATCTTTGTAGGGAAAAAATGTTTTGCGGCACAAACGCTGCACCAGTAGCTTTGGGGGTTGCTTGCCTACAAGAGGTGTTAATATTATCGCAATTTAGTCTTATTAAGTTTTTTTTTTTTCTTTACCGTTATTTGTTAAACATTTCCGGGCTCTGCACGCCACAATGGAACGTGATACGTTTGAGATTGAGTAGAGTCCGTTTACGATGTGCCGGCTGGGCTAAAAACCAGGCGAGGTCTGCCAGATTGTCACGCGATAAACACGACAGGGTTTGCGATCCATGATGATGTAAAGTTGGTAACGTTTTTGTAAAAACCTATTATTGAAACGGGGAGTCCGTTCCTTTGAATGGCTATGGCTCATTTTCAGTTGATTGGCTATGTGGACAAACGCCAGTGCCGCATCTGGGACTCAAGTAGCCCGGAACGTTGGGCACCATTTCACGTCCATAGAATCAGTGTCTCGTGCGGCGTTTTTCTTCAGAAATGATTGATGAGACAGTAGCAAGAGTCAGTGGTGATTTTTATCATCACAGCTTTGAAACCTGTAAACCGAAATGAGGGTATGAGATGCAAACAATTTTTGCTTTCAACAAAATGTGACAGATTGGGATTCCATCAAATCACAGATTGGTTGCTTCGAGAAGCGACTGGTGAAGTTAATCCTGAGCTATACCGAAGTGTGATTTAGTATTGTACGGAACAGACCGAGTTACGCAACGCACTTTGGAAAGGCGTTTGGCTAACATCGTTTTGCACGAGCGGTGCAAATTGGACCCCCTAGATTGGGCGAACATAAAAACAAAAACATGTATAGAAATTGGACATGGAAATGGAGATGCGACTCTTTGTGCAACCAAGATTAATTAATACACTAACCTCTAACCTAGTGACGTTTATATCTCTGTCAGCACATTTGGAAAGGCTGTTCTAAATGTTTTTTTTCCCATCAAGATGCTTCAGAAAAAACTGTTCCTACTGAATGATGAATTATGTCATTCCCACATAATTAGTAAAATGCAACCCTTGTATAGCTCTATATACGATAATGTCAGACGGGGATATAGAAGTAGGACATTTCGAAATCAGTTCGGCTTATTAACAGTATAAGTACTATTACCTTGATCGACCTGCATGATCTGACGATGTCTGGCCAGCTGGTGCAATCTAAAATTTGTGTGCAAATTTAATATTTTTTAATCACCTATATGTCCTCCTAACATCCTTTATGTATTCTTGTATACACAACACCTCTGTCTGACGTAGTATTGAGCCCGACGAGTTGTTGGCTGCTGCCTCATACGTAAATGTTATTTATGCACTCGAAAGAGAAGCTTCTCGCGGAAACCGGTACCTTTCTAAACGGATTTGAGGCGGCCGATCTCAATCGTCCAAGCATGTTTAAGTATATTTAAACAGCTATTTTGTACGAGTTTGTCTTTGTTTGATATCCTAACATCGTTTCAAATCGATCACAAATGATGGTCCCCTGTTTCGATTTGGTCTTTCATGAAGATCAGGTCCGGCTGTGACCGACGTCTGCTAATTTTATTCTTGCCCGATAATTGCAATTCAAGATACATTCTCTAGGTATACGAATACGTAACACAAATATATTTATTCTGTCGTCGAAGGTTTTTGACTGGTAACAAGAAAGGCCACTTTACATAGAGTATTATATTGGTTTTTAAACCCTATTTAGTTGAGTTGAGTTTCCTATAAAATCACAGTCCATTTTACCACTGACAACTTTCTCTACATATAGTTGCTACAAATAGTTGCTTAATGAAGAGTTTAAGAGCACTCATGATAGAAAGATTTGATTACCCTATGATAGCTTAGAGGGTAACGTATTTGCCCTTGGGAAGGAACACGTTATAGTATAAGTTCGAATCCGGATATTTTGTTTGATTTGGGGGTCAGCCGTCTGACGGAACGGCGACGCCGGGCCTATTATTCGAAAGATAGATTTACCTATCCGTTTAGCTGTGGCAGCTGCTGACTCGACATCAAACGCTTAATGACAGAACTTCTAACTGTGAAAGTTGTGTTCAGCTATTAGTGATACTTTAATTTGTACATTCAAAACAATCAAAATCATACTTTTTATATTTTCGAGCTAATTTTAAGCGAGCGGTAACTTACTTTACTTAATTTAAACTAATAAGTTCATTGAAGTTTGTCTCCTGCTGATATTGTACGACTGTTAATTTTATGCTACATTGGCTTGCTTTTTATTCATTTACTTAAATGCAACAAGCATACCTAAAAGGTATTTTCGACATGGTTCTCTGTTTAGCAAACAAAAAAAAGCTAAAATTAGCTGTTATTTTAGATGCGGCGGCATTAACCGAGTAACGCTACGAAGCGAATTTGCTTTAGTCGTCGATCGACAACAACTGTACACATTAAATTAAAAAAAGGACAGTTAGGCCTACATGAAGTGTGATATTCTATGTATTTTCTGTGTAAACGTAAAGCAGTGTCTTTCAAAGCGCAAAAAATTAGTTCGCTAGTGTATACTGGGACTATTTGTTAGTTGCTTGCTTGCGGTTCATTGTGCCTTGTCTTTCTCTAGGTGATATGGTGCATCCTGTTTTCCGTGATGATCGTCGTTGCAGCCTGTGGTAATCTCATCGTAATTTGGATTGTCTTAGCTCACAAACGAATGCGTACCGTAACCAATTACTTCATCGTGAATCTGTCAATAGCCGATACGATGGTGTCAACGCTCAACGTTATTTTTAACTTTACGTTTATGCTACGGAGCGAATGGTGGTTCGGGGAATGGTACTGCAAATTTAGTAACTTTGTCGCTCTCGTCAGTGTATCGGCAAGTGTGTTTACTCTAATGGCTATCTCAATTGATCGGTAAGTTCCACATGAACAGTTACAGAGTCAACTGTGCATGAACTGTATTCTATTTAGCAAGATACATCCTCAAGTTCATTGGTGCTTTCTACTAGATCTCTAGAATAGTAATAGTAGTCCTATGGTATGCATCTTGTCCTGAATCCAAGTCCCTTTACAAGTCTACTGTTAGTAAACAATTATATAGGACTTTGGATAGCTGTTAGTCTGCTGCGGGACGAGCGGAAGCGGAACGTGCGTTCAGACAAACAGCTTATTTGCGCCATAAAAAAAAGTGAATCTGAATTAAAGTTATAACAATTAGCTGGAGATAGGATGGTGACCAACAGAACCAGCAATGTCTACAGTGAATGAAATAATTTAAAAACGAATCAACTGAGTACGTTAGGCATCTTCGTATAGCTGACGTAATCTAGAAAGTCAAAAAAATTCACTCTGAATGGTCTTCAGATACTCTGCTTCATAGCTTCGCCACTAGACCACTTGTGTCTCCTTGCTTCTCATGAGTATTCCTCTTTCAATAAGATCACTCACTCTGCATGTGGACCATTGAACTATATGCCCTCGTGCATTTGCATAAGCGATCCTTAGTGGTTTTTGAAAGAACTATTAGACACAGACCAACTCCTGAGGTACACCAAGCTTCCGCCACGAACGGAAAAGCTCTCACAGCTGGAACAAATTCGTCTACGGAGCGCAACTATGCTGCGTCACATCTTTCGCAACCTTATTTCTTGAATGATTAACCTTGTCGTTCTCCGTAGGCCTTCTTCGGTTTCCCTCGATAGTACAAGTGCCTGAAATAATTGTTTACGAAGGATTTACAGTTGTATCAAATATTAATAAGGCGCTGATTCTGTGTGCACCTACAGAAAACAGCAGAGAATGATTTACTAATTTTGCCAAAGCGGTGCTCAGGCGACGACTTATCGTTCTTCTGGAGCCAGACAAAACGGTAAAGCATTAGGCCAGGTTTGTATAACAGAAGGAAATTTGCCACTACAAAAAGGTCTAAATTAAAGGTTTTGTACTCGGGCAGCGACAACACTATTACACTTGGTGCCTCGTTTCTCCATTTGGGGCAAACTCCTGAAGTTCGCGAGCTTTTGAGCTCCACTTCGTTCTAAATTGGTGCACCATATCTATGCGGATTTTGCCCCCTTCCTGAAAAGCAACTCTGATCGCTTTCGACAGGACACGGGAGTCAGAGGTGAACTGAGTTCTGGTTTGGATTTCACAAGTAAGAGAAGAACAGTAGAACTAGAGAATAATAGTAGACCTTGCAAAAACTTCGTTTGTTTGGTCAAACTTCAAGCGGACGAATTCAGGCTGGTAGGAAAACAGGGCCTGTCAGAAACCGCTCCAACTAAAAATAGTATCCATTTGGTAGGCCAGCTTTTCGCGCTGTGCTGTTTTGTTAAATTCTGCTGCTCGATAGTCAAATCACCGATAATCGATTCCGAGTTTTGGTTGTCTGCACACATATGTCTGCACACAGCTGGTATCTGTGTGGTGCATTACGACAGGATATAATGCGTATACGAGATCATTGTGAGAGTACCATTTTTGAATAATTTTCTAATAAAGTACTACTTTCTTCCGTTGCCGGCAGTTTTAGTTCTGGAAACCTTACATTTGATACACGACAGTATTCAGCACTCTGAGGCAAGGCTTCGAACTTTCGAACTAGTAAGATCAATACCTTTGGACGATTTGCGCGTGCGCTTCGTCGTTATTTCCACATTAAAGTACGCACCTTTAGGGTTTTACAATACTTGCGTATACATTGCAGTAGATCAAGTATTATAATTAAAATATATGAATAAATACGCGTCTACCATTATGTGAGCGGAGAGCCACTAGCTTTGAAGCATCCGTTTACGCCAGGGAAGAAAAGCCAGTTTGCTTCCTTTTGATGGCAGAGTTAGGGTGATATGGCCACTATCGTAAAAATGTTGATCGAGCGACTAGTCGGTAGGGGGTCGCTCATGGTGGTACCTACGAAAAAAGCCGAAGGGATGAGTGCAAGGGACTCTCGAAAAAAACGGAAGTTTTCATTGGATTAAATCGTGAGCTGAGCGCGTAGCCATTTGCAAGAAGTAGTTCGCGGTGGTCTGGTCACTGCAGAGTGTACGTGGTAAAGTTTTTAACGCTGTGTGAACGCTTTCTCTTGACTGAAACGGGCTTGCCAGAATAGTTCTTACATCGTTACACAGAACAAGGCGAGACATTTAGCGAATACCAAACGGTCCCTGCATGAAGAGACGGGTGTGTAACTTGATTTTGGCTTCTTGGACAGCATTGGAAGTACAACGAGGTCAGTTCTTTTCGCTTCATAACCTGTACTCACATATGCTGAGTAGTCAGTATTGTGCAATATTATATGCCGCAGAGTGCGGCACTTGCTGGCTTGAGCGTGCTAAGCTAATTCTGCTAGCTCTGCATTATGTGGGCACGGGGCTCGACAACGAGAGTACAGCTCGATAGGCTACCAATTTGATCACCATGACCCTCATCAGCGGTGCCCTCCTATGGGCGTATAAATTGGCCAGCCATTGATGGGCGCTAGTAAGGAGCGTACTGCAAAAAGATTGGAGAATAAATTGCTTTGTACTCATACAAGGCATCTTCTATCGTTCTGACCCAAATAAATTACAACCGGTGCTTCCGCAGGCAGCAGAGGCCTTGATATACTGGGGTCTTTCAAGTGAGAGGACTGATCAGCGCCTAATGGCATGATTATTTTCTAAACAAAAATGTTTGGGCTATAACACGTCGTGGCTGCGATGTATGCCAAGTAGCGGAAGACCGCAGAAATACATGTCCTCCTGCCTCATCGACACTGCATCTGTAAATCCGCCGCGAAAGGAAGGCTAGCACGGATCCCATTAAGCAAAGGAACAGCCTAGATAATACCTGAGTACTATTTCGACAAGACAATGTACGTCGCAACGACGAAAGGCTTCATTGTGTGAGCTTCTTGTCGCGGGCTCGTGCAAGATATAGTCGGTGCCACCGGTAAACGAAAACTGGAGTGGGTGGAATCCTAGTCGACACGCGTTCGGAGAGAGAGATCCGGAAGAAATCTGAAAAGTACGGCGTGATGTTGAACCCTCTGAACCTTAGTATATACCAACCACCGAATAAGCATATCCTGCTGGATAAACGTGGGTGAGTAAACATATGATAAATACATGTCTTCGACTATATAAGCGCAGACCGAGTGTGAAGTTTCTAAAAAAGTAATTTTCACCTCTTCTGTGTCGGCCAACAACGAAGCAGGCTATTGCGTCTCATAAAAATATATATTAAATAACATGTTTTTCTATTCTGAATAAAGTAAACTTAACCGATTTACTTAAAAAGCTCTACAGGGCTAGAATATTTCCTAATTTCGTCCAAATTTCGTCTGCCAACAGTGTATAGTCAGGAAAGTTCACCATATCCGCTTGTAACAGTCTAATTTGTATGAGCCCAGAGGGAAAAACACCAAAGACCCAAAGTCAATGCTTAGTGGCTGAGCTTCTGTCTTTCGAAGGCTACAGTGCAGTGAAAATTCATCGAAGACCGGTGAAGACATTAGACAAAAAAGCAAAAACACAGTCCGTGTACAGTGTAAATAGACAATAAGTGTTAAAGACCAGCAAGGAGGTAATCAGATGTCGAGAGCCGATGGACAAGAACACATCGCCACAGTCTTTTACAAAGAAATTTTTAGGAAACGTATATGGACTCCGAAGGCTCTGTTGGCCAAAACATGGTATTTCGTATGTACCGTGTTACGCAATCATAACCCAAATACTGAAAACGCAGAAACTAGGTAAAAAATTGGTCCCCCGTGAATTGAATCCAGATCAGTGTGTTCCATGTGCAATTTGTGTAACTTTAATCGACAAAAAAACTCGTGTAGATCATACCACAACTATCGATGAGGCACGGTTGAACTTTAACAGCCAGCCGAAAAGGAACCAGGCGAGAGAAATCGAGTTCGGCCGCAGTATCGAACCTCCGGCATAAGGTGATGGTAAGAACTGCAATGGATATCATTAGCATCGTCTACTACGAGATACACGCTAAAAAATGATTGCAGCCCGTCATCTAAAGAGTTCCTCAAGAGACCCATGGACCTTCATAAACTCATGGGGATTGTTGGCACGCTATCGTTACACCAGACCTCATCGTCATACTTCAATGACTTCCTGCATTGAGCAAGTGAATATCACACGTTAACCTTGCCCTTGTAGCCTTGCTAACGTAGCCTGCCTGTTGTTTCAATCCAAATTTCCTTAAAGGGACAAACTGGTGGATAAGCATGTTTCACTATCAATTCATTTCGAGAAGCGACAGACATACTACGTGCAAGTACGCGAATTATAGATGGCTTTTAAAATCTGCCAGAACTATAGGACAAATGGGCAAAAATAAAAAGTGCCGCCAACACATTATTAGTTCGCTGAGTAGGTTTGTAACAGCCTAAAATAAACAATCTCCGAATTTTATTGAGTTAATTTGTTTGACTTAAGACTGAATCAATTTGATTCAGCCTGGGAAGGCTTTGGCCATGGCTTCATAGGTCTGTGGGATCTTTTGCACAGTGTACATTGTTGAGCTATTAGCTCCTCGGACTCGTGTGTTAAGTTCCGTCCAGTACACGGACATATATGTACTTACTAGCCCGCCAATTTTCATCAACTGCTGAAAGAGAAAATGCTGTTTTGACTTGGGGTGATCTGTAAACGTATCTAGTAGTCATTGAAGGAATAGAAATTTATTTAATTGAAACCCCTTTTAAATTTACCATATACAATTACAGTCAGAATTTCCTTGTTATCAGTGTAGATATCTCTTCTACCTGTAAACCGTGATCTCGATTGGCAATATGGCCAGATATTCAAACCCAACAGGAATGACGGAAGTTCTGTGTGATGTGTGGCTATTGGTCCTGGATATTTTAAGCCTCTCGTTACTTTGTTATTATACATACGAGCTGTACATAATAT